TTATATTTAATTATTGCATGTAGATAACTAAAAGCCTAAAAATATAGACGTAGTCCTCCTTTTGCTCTTATTTAAATGGTTTATAACTTTTTTTGTGCAAACTTATATTACAGGTGCTATAAGGGGTCAAAGTACAGGTCTTCGAAAAATTAAATTCGTTATATTGCAAACAATTTTGAACTGATTTCTAAAAAAAATATATCGTTGTACAGGTGATTAAACCCCCTTTCTTCCGATATGCATATTTATATACTTCGTATATAAAAGATTTTAGAAAAAACACATTTAAATGAAAAAATACCTTTTTTATACAACAAAAAAAAGTATTTTAAGCAAAAAATTATTAACAATTTTTTAAAAAATTTGTATCGTTGTAAAGACGATTAAATCTCCTTTCTTCTGATATGCATATTTGTATACTCCTTATATAAAAATTTGAGAAAAAACCCCATTTAAAGGAAAAAATACCTTTTTTTTATAAAAAAAATGTATTTTAAACAAAAAATTACCAACCGATTTTTAAAAGGTTGGTATCGTTATAAAGGCAATTTCTTTTGATATGCATATTTGTATACCTCGTATGTAAGAATTAAAAAAAAAACACTTTTAAAAAATTGGTATCGCCGTAAAGGCGATTAAACCCTTTCTTCTGAAATGCATATTTTCTTGATTTTTGATTTTTTCTTATAAAAAATATTTTAAACAAAAAATTACTAATTAGTAATGCAATTGAATACTTTATTTGAATAAAACAGAAAATTACCGTTTATTTTTATATATAACTCGTTATGTAAAAAATCAAAAACCATAGTGTTTTTATATTTTTATATGCCTTAGACTTCTGTTACATATACTTTTCTTTATTTTTAACAGGGATGTGGGTAGACAAGAACGAATTAATGCTTAAAACACTAATAATTATTTGTTTTATTTATATACGGTATTCAATTGTATTACTAATTATTAATTTTTCTGTAAATTTTTTTTATAAGAAAATATTGGTATTTTTTCCTTTTAAGTGTTTTTTCTCAAATTTTTATATACGAAGTATACAAATATGCATATTAGGCGAAAGGGGGTTCAATCGCCTTAACAACGATGCCAATTTTAAAAAAAATCGGTTAATTATTATTTTTTTTTTTAAATTTATTTTTGATAAAATAAGTAATTTTTTCCTCTTAAATGCTTTTTCTCAAATTTTTATTCACGAAGTTACAAATATGCATATAAGAAGAAAGGGGGTTTAATCGCCTTTACAACGATACGAATTTTTTAAAAATCACTTATTAATTTTTTTGTTTAAAATATTTTTTTAAACAAAAAAAGGTATTTTTTCATTTAAATGTGTTTTTTCTCAAATTTTTATATACGAAATATACAAATATGCATATAAGAAGAAAGGGGGTTTAATCGCCTTTACAACGATACGAATTTTTTAAAAATCACTTATTAATTTTTTTGTTTAAAATATTTTTTTAAACAAAAAAAGGTATTTTTTCATTTAAATGTGTTTTTTCTCAAATTTTTATATACGAATTATACGAATATACATATCGCAAGAAAGGGAGTTAAATTACAACGATATGAATCTTTTAAAAATCAGTTAAAAATTTTCTGAAATGTTAAGTTTTTAAGTTCTCGAGGATCTGACCTTTGACTCGTTATAGCGCCTGTAATATAAGTTTTCACAAAAAAAATTTATACATATACCTTATATGGTATACCTTATAAGGTATATAAGAGCAAAAGCCGGACCAGGTCTGTATTTTTACTTCTTTTGCTTTTTACATGCAATAATTAAAAATAATTTTTTACCAAAGATCCAATTTCGAAATTCGAAGGCTCATGTCTCGATTTCGGAGACTAACTTCGAAAAAAGGAGAAATTACTTTTTTTTACTTATGACTCAGTCTCTTAAAAAAAGTTGGTTTGGTCCAATACCCAGCCGAGTGCTGTACAGTGCAAATGGAATTGAAAAATCTTGAATTGAGATTGATTTCAGTTCTGCAAATAGGCCGTGCTTGAACCTAGTAGCGTCGATATTTTGAAATTTTGTTGTTGACGGTCTCACCCGTTTTATTCCATAAGAAATTCATACTTATGAATATGAAAAAAGTGCAAAAATCCGTCAGCATAAAAAAAATTTAAAAAAATTAGGCGTTTGAAACTTGCACTTCATTAGACTAAAATTGTATGGGCGATAAAACTGCATACCCAAAAATTTTCTAAAAATTCAGAATAAAAAGTGAAATTTTGATTAAAATTTTTTGAGTTTTCCTAAATTTTGGATAAAGTTAGAAACTGTGATTTACACGGTTTTGGTTAAAGCTTAGACCATATTACCAAAATAATAAAAAGAAATTGAGCTCGAAAAACATAACTTTTATTTGAAGAAAATCAACACGTGGTCATTTCTTTGAGTCAAGTATGTATAGCATGTACTCCACTCCATAGGACCATGGTTAGATCCCTGGCCAGATAATAACCCAAAACAGCAGTCGGCGTTCGGCACGCAATAGCAAACCTTCGAGTATATTTCTGCCTTGAAAACCCTTCTTATAAAATCATTTGCCGTTCGGAGTCAGCCTTAAAGATGAAGGTGTCTCCATTTATGTCACAACAACAGAACTCATGCCTCAAGTTTGAGGAGAAGCTCGACCAAAAACTTAGAAAAATATTGTAACACCAAATATTTAGTTGTTTACTTATTTAAGAGAAGATGTAAATCTGCTGGGTTCACATTTTGATTACAGAAATCTCAGTCCTGATACAACAAATAGTATTAGTCATGCGTTTATAAGTAAACATGTACACAACACATACAAAAAAACGCTACTCACGTACACAATACGTACACAAAAACGGTACTAGACTGTCTCGTTTTGGTTTCGGAATGCTTACACATTGAGAACTTAGCTTACTGCCAGTATAGAGGTATTACATATGGGTGTTTCCAGCGGAAGGTCCACCACGACAAAAAAAAAATAAAAGTTTTATATCTAACGTATTTACGGGCCGATTTGTCTGCTTTTTAAAATATATGCTGGCTATGTAAGTAGAATCATGTTTGCATAAAATGGTCTTCCTAGGTGGTGCCAAGGTCNATGTGGTTGAAACATAATAAATCGATTTGGTTCGAATTTGGCGTATGTGGTTGAAACATAATAAATCATATAAAGTATATTCTACATAAAATACATGTATTATTTGCGTTGAAAATTCATTTAAAAGCAATATTAACAAAAATATAACGATGGAAATTTATGTCACGTGACGCCACGTCACGTCACGTTTCGCACTTGGGGTTGTAAAAGAGAATTGAAACAATTTGCATTAATTCAAAAAACTCTAAAAACAACTAGAATTGCTCCAAATCATATTAAAATAAGTTTCATGAAAATAGCCATCCACAATTCGCAGAGTTTTGCGATTTTGTAAGAAAAGAAAAAATCAACTTCCATTTTTTGTCACGTAACGACACTCTCTTTAAATGCTTATATTTCAGGACCAAGCAGTTCGATTGATTTCATTTTTCGGTTAAATATAGAGCTAATTATGTGCTATACAATGGCCCAAAAAAGTTAAAGAAAACAAATGGTATTCCTTTATTGTATCACATTGAAATCGTACAACTGTCAAGTGCGCCACCATGGGAACGCCCATATATGGTCTCCACCATGATAATATAATGAGAAAAATTTATTATCACTTACATGTATGTATGTTTCCTTGCCGCTCCAGCGTTGAAAGACCTACTAGCGTTGTATTTGTAATTTTCACCGATGTAGGGTGTCTATTTAAGTGCTTCTTTAAAAGATTAAAAATTTTTCTCGTTTCGCTTAATGAACTTAAAATTAAATGCACTTAGTCATCAAGGTTTAGAGTTAATTTCACTTTCTACTTTCTTATAACTTAATGTTTTTAACTTCTTACACTTTTAATAATTTAATAATTTAGAAATTATGGAACTTTATTTTTTTGTAGTTTTTTTTTTTAATTTTTTTTTAGAAATACGATTAATCTACGTATCCACTGCAGAGTGGAAGAGCGCGCTATCTCGGCAGCCAGTTCGAAAACGCTCTATCTCAAAAAAACTTTTCAAGAACGCCCTATTTCAGAATTTCATTGAAAAACAACCTATCTCAGAATGCGGTTCAAAAACGCCCTATTTCACTTCAAAATGTATTGAAAATGTGCAGATATAGGGCGTTTTTGAAACGAATTCTGAAATAGGGCGTTCTTGAAAAGTTTTTTGAGATAGAGCGTTTTCGAGCTAGCTGCCGGATAGGTCGATCTTCCACTCAGAAATCGATATGTTTGCTTTTTTTCATTCACCCACATCAAGGATTATATTCCTTTAGTTTAAACACTTCAACGGTTTCCTAAGCGATTTTATGATTTTTATTTTTTTTCCTCTACTCCGTAAGTAGAAACCTTTTCGATTAAAATCAATGTTACTCGTGTTGGCGTGTGGGCGTTTATATACTGGCGTTTTCCAATTCTGGATTTTTCTTTGGAAACTGAGAACAGAAGAACAGTGCTCTTGTTGCTTTTTCAGTGCATTTTCTCTAAGCTCGAGAAACTAATTTTGAGAAACTCGAAATTAGTTCGAGTTCAAGCTCGGCTTAGAACTCACTGTATTGTAAGTGACATCTTGTGTCGAAAATGGTATGCGATAAAGCTCCAACAAAAAGCTAAGTAAGTACACTGAGAGAAAAACAACAACCATTACAATGTGTTCTCATATTTCAATCGGCTAATTGCCATTTGTTTACCCACTCCACCCCCTCGAAACAAAATCACTCCGCTAGACACTCTTCGAGCGTATAGCGCCGCAATTTGGTAAGTGCTATTTACTAGTCTTCTACTGTGCTACTCATTTAAGCGATATAGACAAACAGATATACATATGCGAGGCTCTCTGTTGCGCTAGCTACAGTAATGTGGGCAGAAAGCGGTGGGGCATATGCTAACAGTAAGCAGTGTTATCAGTTTCACTTTGGTGACGTGCTGAAGCGTTGTAAATGGCAATTGCGCTTTATCACTAGACTGCTGATAGACGCCTGTTTAGTCGCAATTACGCCAATATGCCAACTCCGCAAATTCGGCAAAGCTAGTTAAGCGTTATTGATTAGATGACGTTGCGCGCTCGTACGGCAATCGAAATCGAATTTATTAAGCTGTTAGCAGTGGCTAATTTTTTAGAAGTTAATAGTAATAAAATGTTTAAAAATTTACGAAAATCCAAAAAGCGTTTGCGTTGGTCGAAAGTGGAGCGTGCTAATAGAAGAAGCATTGATGAGAGGTGTTGTTGGTAGCTAACCACATCGGTTGTTTACGTTTATTTGAACTATGCACGAAAATATGTACAATGTAAATTAATAATTAAAAAATTTTATTTGCAGGGAGACGATGATTGTTTTCGTCTACGACACTGAGTGTCTGAAAGACGAAGCAGATGATCCGGTCCAGGCGGTACTTTATTTCCATCCAAGCTGGGTGTCGGACACACAGAAAGTGGCGCTTTGTGGCCAGCTGATGGGTACATCCTTTTTCCTTAAGGACTGTTTCTTCAAACCGAAAATAATGGCACTGCAAAATGGCAAATTTGTGTTGAAGGAGTTTGGGAGATTTACCCTTGTGAGTTTTCTATTAAATAGTTTAAAATTATTTTTTAAAAGCTATTACAATGGAATACTCTTTAATTAATAATTGAAATCTTTATCCCCCAGGCAGTTGGCACCGATCGTAATATCTCGGATTATTTGCTTGAAAAACGCGCCGACTTGCTCGCCTCACTTGTCAAGTTCTTTCATCGTGATTTGCAAAGCGTTTTCGATCTATTCCCACAGCAAGCACAGTACAAGAATCTCTCCGAAAAGCTATATCATATTTTTGAAACATATCTGCCGATTTTACAACGTAACGGACATATTTTTCAGAATGTCCCAAAGCTGCGTATGCCAAAGGTATGGAAAATTGTTATATTTTATTAAAATGAGTAAATAGATTGCACTTTATGCTTTCAGACGGCTAGCAATATATTTTTGGATGCCATACAAACACTGCAATGCTGTCAACAGACAAAGGGTATATTGGGCGGAGCCGTACTCTACCATAACAAGTGTGTAATTTCTTGCACTTACTTCATATACATATGTACATATGTAGCTGCAGAACTTTTAATCCATCATCTTTATTCATTTCCGACAGAGTCGTTGCCTCCCAACTTGGTGACGTCATAACCAAGCAGCTTGTACTTACCGATCCGCTACACATACGCACCACCGCCGAGCAGATACACATCACCGATTTTCACATACCAAACGGCGTTCAGATGCTAGTCGTTTATGTGGATGTCCTGCAATATAATCGCTTAGCTGCCGACGCACAACGCGCCCAAAATGTGCAAACCATCCAGGTTGGTTTGCTACCCTTTCAGTACCCGAAGCGTAAAATGAAACGCGACAAGTCGTTGATTTTTACAAATATACCAGAGGAAGGCAGTGCTACTGGCGGCACGGTGGGTTGCGAGCAAGTAGAAGAAGGTGTGTCCGCATCCACGGCGGTGGCGCAAACACCGGGAGCAGTGCGGCCGAAATCGTTGCTGATACGTCCGACACACTTGCCTTTGCGGCATCGAAACGGAATGGGCAGTTCGAAGGAGCTGCCTGAGTCAGGAATTGCTTCGATAAATTTCGATGAAACAGACTCGTATCCGGAGTTCATAGGACGCACCAGTGTGTGCTCTACACCGATGACGGAGAATAAAGTGCTGCAAGTGGGGAATATTATGTCCATATGCGCAAATACGGAGGTAAGCATCGAATAACGAAGGTTCGTATTCAAGTTTATTTTAAGTTTAGCCAATTTTTGTTTTCATTTACAGGATGAAAGCAACTCGAATAAGCAACAAAAAACACATAACACTAATCGCCGTAATTCGCTCAAATTCGATTTTGAGAAATTCTTTCAAAATTTTATTGCAAATCCGAATAAACAAATGGAGCGTCGCAACTCCTTCACCGATTTACAAGATTCACTTAAGAAGATATCCAAGAAATTATCGCTGAAACAATTTTCGAATAGCTTTAAGACTGACGTCAATCGCAATGGAAGCAGCAGCGGCATTGAGGCCATCGAATCACCTGATTTTATCGAAAATGACGACGATGTTGATGCAGAGCAAAATTCTGACAACTCTGATGAGAATAACCGCACTTCACGCACCATAACAGATCCCACCTATCCTGTTTTTAACGAGAATGGTCAACCAATATCTCGTAGTCTTTTCCAAGAATTTATCGAAAAGTACTACCGCCTGTGGGCGGAAAACGGCAGCGGCAATGGCAGTGCAAAGAAGGATATCGAAATCGCACAACTTATTGAGGAATTCAAAGAATTTGATAACGAACTAAAACAATTAGACGAGTCGCTACGCCTTGACGGCGGCGGCAACAACACAACCATCACCACCACAACTACAAACCTAAAAACAGATAGTAATTTGAATACAGAAGCACCTGCAGTAATGACAATGCAAAAAGCTAAAACTCCTCTGGACAAGAAATCACTTAGTCTTCCCCTGAAACCACTCACCGATGCGTCATCTAATGACCAATTTGTTGCCGCGAGTCGCAAGCAACCGGGTGGTGTGCCACTCACACCGCTAATGGCTAAACTCTCTGTGTTGGCTTTGAATGAGGAACATACGAGCAGCACTTGGGATACCACTGCGGTAGAGATACAAACGCCACTAAACACGAGTAAAGTTTTTTCGCGTCGCAGCTCTTTGAAGTGCGACGACGCTGTGGATGCTTTGGCGACATTGCCTGCTAACGCGCAGAGCTCATCAAATGGTACGAAACGGCTAGAGTTATATATGTGTGGGCAGCAAAATATGACGCTGCTGCTTTTAATGGAGGAAGGTACAGCGCGCCAGCAGCCCGTTGTGCAGAAAATGGTAAGCTTAGTTGAGATTGAGGGAATACTTTTGAAAATAATATAATAAGATATCTTAAATTATGCGATGCAATTCCGGTTATTATAGATAAGATTCACTTAAAACCTAGCATTGATTATTTAATAATTTTCCGTATTTTTTCACATTTTTTAGTTCGATGTTTGCGTTGCAAAGTTCCCGCATATGGAATCACATTTAAATCAAACACTCAATGTTAATGTTGAGGGCGATAAGCGTGAAGGTGGCTACAGTTTCATGTGCATAGATGCGAAATGGGATACTTTAGAGCGCAATGGACCGTGGAATCCGTTAGAACTGAATACGCTCGAATGCATGCATCAAGATTTGCAACCGAGCGATGAAATTATGGATTTGGTTTTGAGGTAAGAAAATTAAGTTGTTTGTTCTGAAACATGAGTGCTTTTGTGGGAAGAAAATGTGGCCTGATAGAGAAAAGGGGCGCATTAAGTTTATAACAACAAAATTATCGGCAAATATGTCGCTAATGATAACGATGACGATGTGATAAATATTGTGTGAGGGTCTTATCGGTCGATAACTCTCCTTTCCCCTATGACAGAACGTCCTAGTAGCGTTCGGCGTCGATCTTCCACAGGGACTCAAACGGTGGTCAACGAATTTTCTCAACCACCAGAGGGTAAATTGCAGCCCTGATCAGCAACCATTTTCACTACCTGGACGAACCGAGCCGGTTCTTCGTAGCGGAATGACTCGATTTTTATCCGACCAAGAGCTGTTGTTTCGGCGATCTAACCCCGTTTAGGTCGGCGAAATCTCTCAAAAGTTGCACGTCCATAGGGGTACACCTGCTTCGCATACTTCTGCTCAGGGCTGGCATCAAGTCAAACCATATGCCAGAAACCTACATTTACATGCTGCGTATACCGGAGACGATTGTGTTTGACTAGGATATTCCGTAACTTGGCATCGGTCAAGTGCAACACCTGCCTTGACTGGTGGCACTCTAGGTCATATTCAGGACTGCGCGCCACGCGAGATTGTATGAGGAACTACGAGCGCCGTGTGCGTTGAATAGCGTCGGATACTACGTGCACCGTCGAGATCGCGAGCGAGATATTGGTGGCCTAACGTTCATCCCGCATCAGACCATCTACCCATAATCATCTCTATTGATAAACCTGCCGACTTTGCTTCCGCGTAACACCGAACCTATGTCAACGTTTCCAAAGCTGATTAGAACGGCTTCGCGGAAGTTACTGAAAACACCTTCTTTGCCCTCCCCACACCAACCGACGTCCCCTAGGTGAGCGTGAGTTCCTCGGGGCTGCCACTGCTGCATCCCGCTTCATCCCAGCCGGATGTATCTCGTCAGGCCGATCCCGGAAATCCCCGCATTAGCGATTTCAGCTCGGAGATTCGGGAAGTAGGAGGAGTATCTGAGGACTTGCAACTTTAGCTCTGTTGTGGGCAAGCTTTGGTGAACCGTGAGGTCATTGTCGAACCCGACGAAGCGTGACGCATAGTTGAAGTCTCTTTCGGTGACCGGGCCTCGTCGAACCCGGAGCGATGCGCGAGCTACTCAACCCGACAATTTACGCTGCATCCTCCGGCGGACAAAACCAAACGTCGAGTGACCAGAAGGCTGCACAACGTGCCAACACAAAGTGCGCCTCTTATTTTTACCAGAGGTAAGGTACAGGTAACCATCGGGAATACGAAAGCCTCCATAGCCATTGCTCCCGACGGTATATGCACGCTGATGTTAGAAACATTTGGTCCTGCTGGAGTTGATTACCTTACCAAGGTTCTCAACCTGTCCATAGCTACCCTCATCATTCCACATACCTGGGAAATGGGGAGGGTGGTCCCACTGCTCCAACCGGGAAAACCGGCAAACAATGAAGAGACTTATCGTCCGATAACTCTTCTTTCCTCGGTAGCAAAGACACCTGAGGCCTTGCTACTTCCGCACTACACAAACCACCTGACCGCGGCGAGGCATCATCATGGATTCCGTAAAGTGCACAGCACAACAATGGTACTTAACGACATAAACATTCAGGTAACACATGGCCTTAACCGAAACCGTCCCTGTGAGAGAATAGTTCTAGTAGCGTTGGATCTGTGAAAGGCGTTTGACACCGTCAGTCACTCCACGCTACCAGAAATTATAGAAGCCTTTTCTCTCCCACAGGGACTCAAACGGTGGTCGGCGAATTATCTAAGTGGTCGACACTCGTCAGTAATTTTTAGAGGCAAATCGAGCAAACCCAGAAGAACCAGGCCCCTATTGCGAGTGTCGACTGGCAGTAGAATAGAAATTTGTCGATCGAGTCGATCATCTTTTATTTTGCTATTGTGTAACTTGATCGATAAAAATTTGTACTATTGTGAATGGTTGACAGAATTGTAAACAGCTGTTTGTTTGTTTACATTTGTTTCTTGAGTGTTTTATTTACATCATTTTTAAAATAATTGCTTTTATTATAAAATTAAAAAAATGGACACAGTTGAAATATGGTTTAGTGATGAGGAAGATGATGCGGAAGCTAATAGATTAGTAGAGTTAGCTAAAGCAAGGAGGGAATTGCGAGATTCGTCGGATCCCTTGGACTTGGAAGGTGTATGTACATGTGTGAGTTTTATGAATAGAAGTTGCGTTCCCGATGCTTCACAGTTTTTAGGCTTTACATGATTAGCAGGAAAAGCTGTTTTCCTCATTAATAAACTTTATGGAAGTTTAAGAAATACGGTACGGTTAAGTTTTTTGTACAAAGATGTTGGGTTTTTGTGTCCAAACGCGTGACCCGAGTTTAAAAACTTTAACATAACAACATAACAAGTGTATTGAAAGAATTCAACTTTAATTTAAAATAAAGATTTCAAATTTCCGAGCACTAGTCAATTAATAAATTATGCAGTTTTTTTGTATAAACTTTTGATGTTGGTTCTGCGCAAAAACACTGTGGATGGCGTAGCCGGAGTTATATGCACAAGAAATATTGTATATGTATCTTTTCCAATAGAAGCGGAGCTTCCTACCCTACTCTTTCCGGAAATTCCTTTGCCCATGTCTTCACTCTCCTGCATCAGTACGAACAACCGCGCAAGTTGCCTTTTGTTGCTTATAATTTTTGATCTGTAATTCAGACACATACATGCATTTCACAATTTTTTACAACTTCCAGTTCAATTGACTTACGTTTTATCCATTATAATACCACTTTCTTATGTAAATTTTATAAACGCAAACCACAGTATAGACAGTAACCAACCTTTTTGGGTTGTTGTTGTAGTAATCGTTGTTGTTGTAGTTATATTCACTCCTGAGGAAGGCACGGGGTTGTGTGCTGCTATTTAATGGCCTTCCTCAGACTTTTTCTTAGATTTCAGGGTTGTGTGCTGTATTATTATTAGATTTTATTAAAAGAAAATTATCAATGGTGTTGAAAAACCAAACAAACACTCGTGCGAAAGCTCTATTTTTGTGTATTGTTAAAATTTATACATGGCGTACTTATTCTTTTGTGGACTTTATGTTACTTGAGAATTTAGACAACGTGCGAGCTGTCAGGTTCTGTTATAAATATAATTAACACAAGCTTTTCCGAGTGGTTGGCTTTCAATAAAAAGAATAAACAAATATTCGCAAATAAATTGGATTTATTTTATAACTGACAACTAATCTACGCTTTTTGTTCTTTTCTCCATTTTAATTTTGACTCCTTATTACCGCCAACAACTTTATGTGTATACATATTTACAAGCTGTCAAAATTTTGCGTAGTCCCACGAGCTAGGTAAAAACTATGGCATTCGTATTCACAACGAGAAATCTAAAAATTTTTGTTTGGTATTTCCAAATTTTCTCTTTTTAATCAGTTGGCAAAGGCCCTCAGTGGCAGCGCTCCGTTGAGATAGTAATTTTATGTCAATTAGTAGAAAAGTTCCATGTTTAAACAACTTTTTATTATGGCGAGAAAATTTTACATTTCTGCTGTGCCAATTCGTAACTTTTTACTGTTGGAAATTTTTGACAGTTGCTCTGGTTCAAAAGAAGTTGAGCAATTAAAATCAGAAATTATACAAAAAAGACTTGTCTTTACAGACATTTATTCTTCTAGAACTAAAAGCCATGAATTTATGAGACGCCTTAATAATCAAATCAAACCATCAGGCCGGGTTGAAAATTTTCATTCACCTCATAGTTAACAAAAATTTACAATCCGTAGTACTTTTTTATCAATTCGCAAATGCGTTTAATTTAAATCGTTTAGAAAATGCGTCATTTATGTATACCATTTTATGTGGAATTATTCAATAAATTTCGTTTTACACTATACTTTTTGAAACTATTTGGAGTTAATTATTTTTTGTTTCTTAAAAGCAACCCTGCGTGCCGGGAAGGCGTGTGTACCAATAATTTCATCCCTAGCATATTCATCCCCGAGGAAGGCAGTCGCCAAATTCACCGAAGGTTGTTTACTGGTTATATTGTGACGCAAACTCCAACGACTAAAAACCAGCAATAGAAGGATGAGCGATTAAAAAGTATTCACAGTCGCTAATTGAGCGACTAAGCGACACGCAATAGCATCGATAATCGATAATCGCTTAATAGTCGTTTATCTACTGCCAATCGACATTCGCAATAGGGGTGCCAAATAGGGGTCCCACAGTGTAGTGTCCTTTCCCCACTACTGTTTAACTTGTATGTTTCCAAGCTCCCTTTACCACCACAGGCAGTCTCGATTGTCTCAATAATGGCGTCTGGGAATGGAATTGCTGACTTGTGCTCGAAACTAAACGAAAGTAGCCTAACCCTCTCACTACCTGGACGAAGGAGATCAGACTGCAGATGGGTGTTCGCATCGATGACGAACCAATTCCGACGGTGAATAACCCGAAAATCCTCGGAGTTACCTTCGACAGTCGGCTCTCCTTCTAGGCGCACACAACAGCAATTGTCAATCGGGTGCAAATCCTCAACAAGGTCCTCAATTCGCTAGCCTGGTTCAACGACAAAGAAATGTCGTTGGCAACGTACAAGGCAATTTACCGGCCTGCTTATGCAGCGCCTGTGTGGTCGCCGGGGACTAGTAGGACGCAGTGGATGAGCCACAGACGTGTCAAAACACGGCACTCTGGACAGCGACCGGCACAGCACACAACCACCACTGAACCCGACTAAACTAACGCCTCCGTCCATAGACAGACCCTGCAGAATCTGTATGCTTCTTGGGTCTCCCGTTAGTTGAGCTTGACGACAATGATTGCGGGACTAACCGATCTGGGCGGGGTTGTTGTAGCCGCTACAACAACAATAACAACAACAACAACAACATACTATGTAAAGCACATCAACTGCGCCCCCGTGATACCATCTTATTTTCCAATTCAACAACGCTAAAGGTTCCAAAGAGTTATGACCCTTTCAAAATCTCGATGCATATGTTGAAAAACTAGGCCTCGGGAGACGAGTATCTTAGCGCAGCGCAGACGGAATTTCTATGAGCTGAACACTCAATTTAGCTCAAATTGAAGGAGTATTCGGTCTAGGCAGGGTTTAGTATCCGCTACAACAACAACCACAGTAAACTAAGTTATTAAGCAAATTTTGCAAAGATTTGCCCTTATATAGAATGAGTACATAAACAATATGTTTAGTATTAAAATCGAATGAACGCAAAGCACATTCATAACCCATTTATAATTTGTACTATATTTTGCAGATCACACGATGCCGTCTTCTATGGCTACAAATCGGGCCGCTCCGAATTCTTTTATAAGGAAGCAGCACAACAAACCAGCGGCATACCGCCACCTTCCGATCCTATGGGCAATGTAGCAATGCGCGCCAAAACGCTGCTCGAGCGTGATCACTCTTATATTTTATTTTAAAATTTTAGCGTTAAAGGGTAGAGATAGATTTTAATAGATAAAAATTACAAAAACGTGCATAGTATTTTTTTTTTGCTTTTTCATAGTAGTGATACTCCAAAACCAGCACGTTAATGTAGTGGCAATATCAAGAAAAATAAATAACTGATTAATCCAATAGTACGTCACTAGCCTAACGCCGCTTGTTATACAACTTACTTTGACTAAACTACTCGCAACTTAAAGTAAAATGTGACATCAAGAGATTAGAAAAAAAATAATAATAATGAGGTTATCATAATGTAGTTGATAAATAATTGATTTATGTGGACGCGGCTGTATGAGCTTTTATATTATTTTATGCAATGACTAGTTTGTTAAACAGGGAAGCGTATTATATGGCTGTCGTATAGTAAGTGTAGAAGATTTCAAACGATTAGAAAGTAGTTGGAAGAGGGCGTTAAAAAATATATATACCAAACCTCATACAATAGAACATTTTATAGAGCAGCTCTCAGAAGTAGACTGCACTTTCCTGTTGGAAGTGTTTAATTTTATGACAACAATAGTCGCCTATTTAAAATTGATTGTTCGGCAGCTTGCTATGCGCTTTCGTATTATATTATTATTTTTTCATTATTAAAATTTGTTGCACAACTTGTACAATACTAGTTTCACATATCCATATCGCTAGCTTAGAGTGAAAAGTTGCTAAGTCCACTTTTTATGAAAACTCATATTTTGATATAGGAGGCTAGAGAAATTGAATACGCATCGTTTCGAAAATTATAAAGGTACTTGTTTTATTTTTTCCTCTTGATAAGCAATAAAAGGCAAATCTGCTAGGTCCAAAAGAAGCATCACAAATCCGATAAGGCCAAAATAATACGACATCTTTTAATAAATATCGAATCCTTCTGATTCTTAAGGAGTTTTGCTTTGCTTTAAACGCGCAAAATATTTGATTCAAAGTCTTGCGAAATAGTTAAAGAAAATGGCTATAGGAAGATTTTTTCCTCTCCTGTAAATTTTTTAAAATGGGACTTAGCAACTTTTCTTTCTAAGCTAGCGATATGTACTCTTAAGTCCATTATGTACTAGTTTAAAATTTTGTTAACTTTAGCATAAGATTTAAACCAATTTTTTCAAGCCTTATTCTTCGCTTATACTTACATGTGTATGTAAAAGTCCTAAAGAGCTTTCTTTGTGCAATGCTTCTATATAAATGTAGCTTAAACTATTTTATTATTAAGTGCAAAAAAATCAGAAAACCGTAAGCAGTTATTTAGCTTAAAATTTGTACCTTGAAACTGTCCATTAATGCTTTTTGTAAAAAGCGTACTTATGTAACAATTATTGCGTCGCATCATAAAGTTTTAAAACTCAAGATATGATTTTGAGATATGAATAGAAAAGTTTTTATCGCAACTACACTAACATAGATACATACATACATCCGCATATAGATATTATAAATAAAAATAACGAAGAAGAATATCACGTGCCAATTACACATTCCATTCCATTACAAACATATGTATGTATATTAAATAGTAATTGTATAAGTTTTATTGTGAAACAGACACAACAGAATTGAAGCTAACTGCAAGCAACCTTTTCAGGCCTTCAGTGCTCTATTCAGCTACAAGTTTTACATTACGGCTTGAGCGCCGAAGCCACAACGCCTGAAAAGCCTGAAATCTTGTTGTAGAGTTCTACTCTACTGGTTGGCTTAAAAAAAAGATAATATCACTGAAAACTAGCCGAAGATTTTACACTCATCAATGAGCTGAAAATGTTTAGAGAAAATAAACTTAAAAAAACTCTACACTTAAATTATCGCAAAGATATACATAAATAATCAAAAATTTACTAGAGTTGAGTCAGTGCGTTGGTGAAAACGGCCATAAAACTTAACTTTCACTCAACAATTGCACTGAAGCCGAAAATCGATTGTGTTTCACACAGCGTCGGACTGCATGTAAACTCACCTTAACGTAATTCATCATGATCATTCGCAACATTAAAGCTCATTGTTTGCCAATGCCAATTAGCCGCCCGCAAGCAAGCCATGCAATTAGCTGTAAGTAAATGCTAGCAAAAAAAAAACATGTAAAGTAAAAGAGACACAGACAGAGATTTTTTATTTTGTGGAAGCAAAGAAAAAAGAAAAAGGAAGAAGAAAATGTTAGTTGCAGGGAATGTGAGTATTTAGCTGTAAGCAGCGTATACTAACTAATGTGCAATTTTTTTATTAATTTTTGTTTCTATCTATACTTAAGTGCTTTACTACTTAAGCAATCGCTTAAACATTCCAATTGTTGACTTATTTGTAATCGAAAATTTTATTTTGAATTATTTATAAATTTATGTATGTTTTTTGATTTTACGAAATTTATACAATGTTTATACATATAAACCTGTAATTAAAGAAGTAATTTTAAGCAAAAAACAAAACCGACTTCAATTCTCATATATAATATTTAAAAAAGAATTACATATAGAAATCGGTTAACGTGGTCCAAAGTTATGCGGTAACATGTATAAAAAAATAAATTCCGACGAATTGATAACCTCCTCATTTTTTTAAAGCCGGTTAAAAAGGCAAGTCTTTTCATTCCTACATATACACCCCGTGTCAAAAATAAAAAACGCACCAAATATTGACAAGTTTTAACGTTTAATTTTGTTATTATTTAATTCTAGTTTTTTTTTTGTCTGAAAATATAGTTTATTCTTAACTTTGTGAAAAATTAAAAAAATCAAAAAACTGTCGAAAGTTTCAAGCTTTTTAATTAGTACAAGCTTGAAATTTTAACGAGTTTCCAATTTTTTTTTATATATTGCACACAGTTTGAAATTTGTATTTATACGGTTTCCTTTAAAGAATAAACTATCGGGCATGTTCTGAAATTCGAAACTTTGAAATCGACTCGAATTGCCAAATTGTTTTTAATTATATCTGATGGGAAGGGTGAATATTCCAATTGAAAACCGTAAAAGATGCGGCAGTGATATGAAATAAATCATTTTAATACGAGACTTGTAAATGTTTTGGTTAAAAACCATCGAAAAAATTATCGAAATCGAGTCGATTTAAAATTTTCGAATTTCAGAACATGCCTGTATATGTTTATAAAAAAATAACCACAGTTAAATAACAAACAATTTAGTTTTTAAAACTTGGGACTTGTATGTCGGATTTTTTAACGAAAGCCAATAAAATAATCCAATCGTAAGCAGATAAACATTTGATAAACAAAAGCGAATTATGCATAAAGATTTATTGGAATAAAAATACAAATAAAGACATATTCAAAGTGAAAAACTTTAAACGAATCTTTTTTTTGCGTAGTACATTTGAGCGAAAATCTCAGGCGGGAAGGCAGTTTTTCATAAAGCAAATATTCAATATTCACGTGGTCACTCAGCTTTAGATAGAGAGATAGTAAGGCCGGGCCCTTAGCTCATGAAAACACCTCAACTAGTCCCAGGGACTTTAGAATTTCAGAATAGATCCAGAGGTAGATAGAAAAAAAAAAAAATTCCCTATGTTCCTCTTCCTTCTACGCGCCACCGCCTCACACTCGAAATCCTTAAATGCTACAAGTGCGTCCTTAACCTAGAATAACTCGTCAAAATACCTGTAATGATTCTTAGTTTCTCCTTAGGGAGACCTGTGAGTATCCTGTATGTTTTCAGATTGTATCCTCCGATTAAGCTTTTGGATTGACGAAGTCCCATGGTATTACGCCAATGCAGTTCCCAACCCAGCGCCGCCCAATTGCATTTTATATGTTTTAATTTTAAGCCGCTCAGCCGCTCTCCGCTTTGCCGCTCATTGCGTTGCCTCGGCCTTAGGTTGGAGTTTTCCTTCCTGAGCGCTCCCTTTATCGTGTTGGAGGAAATATAGTTAAATATAATTCTAGGAACAATATGGCTTATGTGAAGTTGATATTGATATTGATGTTATTAAGATATATTAAGCGGTATCGAAAGAAAATACCCATACATGGGTATCATAGTATCGCCACCCTAGTATCGAATACCGGTTTACCCAGTATCGAAACAAAAGTATCGATACCAAAATTATATCAGGAGTATTGCAACAGCTTTATAGGTATCTGTATCTTATTGTGCACGGCTGGACGTGCCGCTCCATGATAGAGTATTTCAGTGTGTTTCAACCTAATAGTATCTTTAGAAAACTACTACTTTATGCATGTCGTCCCTGGGGACCAGAACTAGAGGGAGCTGGGAGCGCAGCTTGTCCCTGTTCCTGGATAACAAAGCCTTACCTTTATCAAATCCCTCTCGCAAAGATAAGGCGAGTCCTCTATGCAGCTTATTCGGTTGACCGCAGGATTTATCTATTGGCGTTTACACACCATCGGCTCACTCGTATCCCTGTTTGTGGCCGCTTCAACATGGGTCCTCCACAGTAGGTTGGAATCCAGGATAAGTCTCAGAGGCTTTTGGCCAGCGCTCAGTGCAATTGGGAAAGCATATGCTTATCGTCGTTTAAAGTGCAAAATCGCGTATCAACAAAATGCAAAACCGCGTATCAGCAAAATGCAAAACCACGTATGTGAAGTTGTAGTAATAATTTTCTAGAGTGTAAAAACACTCAAATTTCAAAATGGTTCTCTTTTTTTATAATCGCATATATGCCTGGTATATTTCAGGACGAATGGATAAGGATTGAGCCAAGAGCTTGTGTGAGCAAATCCAATTTTTGGCAGCCAATGTCAGTTACGCGGTTTTGCAGAATCACGATGCGCGGCTTTGTACTTTAAACGACGTTATACACTATTTTATCATTGAACATTTTTATATGAAATCATTGTACACTATTTTATATTGGTTGCAAACTCAGAAAAATTAATTGGTGTATGTCGATATTACACTATTTTATTATTCACATTTTGAAGCTGCCTGTGAAAGTTAGCAGCAATATAATGAAGTAAAATACTCTAACGTTATTTTAATATTACAAGAATCACTTTGGCATTTTCTTAATAATATTCCATTTGTAAACAATGCTAGTACCTACACTGTTATTATAAAATTTCGTTTTTCGCGAATAAGTTCGTGATCCAAAAAGATATTTAAGAAAACTGAAGATTTTTCTAATAGAATAAAGGATTGTCTATCCAATGGTACGATTATCGAATAATAGTGTATATGGCATTAACACTGTTTCTTTATTTCAGCGACGATTTCTGTTGGTTGTAAAAGTACTTTGCTTGTGCTGTAAACTTTTTTTGAAGAAATAAATATTCTAAAATTTTTTTCTTAAGAAAAATTTCTTTTCCATTTCTTGTGCGTCCTTTTATACATATGAATTTCTCGTTTTTCTTGAGAGCTGCAAACACCCCTTTAGACTAGCGCTGAGTATTCCTCCCAATTCCCCGTTACTCATACGCCATGTATGTACAAGTCCATACTCGTACATGGCATAACCATATTAATCAATGTAAAATAAATGCATTTTTTTCGCAAAATGATTTGTGAATACTTTCATGCAATTTAAATCAAATATTTGCCAGTTAATTATATTTGTTTAAGCCGCCGTTTAAACACATTACGACGGCCGTGCGCGCAATCCTTGGCCGTAGCAGTTTGGTAGTTGACCGACGTCAACTCCGAAAAGATGAGTACCGAGCGCGCACGGTAGCCCACCATTCTCACGGCAAATTAACACTCAATATAAAGGTGTTCTTGCACGATATGTATTTGCATCAGTAAATGTGACTTTTGCCGCCCTGTTTAGAACGTTTCTTTAATTCAGTATAAACATTAAAACATGCATTTAGTAGGCAGTTCCGCCCCAGCCATTCATCATTTACCCCGCTTTCGCCATGTTCGATCACGAAATATCGTCAAAAAAGCCTTTTTATACAAAATGTATTTAAAAGGGGATTTTTCTTCATAAATGTTTTTATGATTTTTTCGTTTTTTTTTTTAATAATAATATTCTGCTATTCGGAGCGGACACACATCAAATATCATAAAATCAGTACAGCCGTTAGTGAGTTATAAATGGTTTAACTAAATGGGCTTTATTTTATATATAAAGATTTTTACAGCTTAATTTTAAATTAAAATTATGATTGTCTGATAAGTATATTGCAACTCACAACTATGTCGGTTTCCGAGACAAAGATGGAACACATTGTTATACATACTTAGTTATAGCATACATAATATATGTATGTATGTATATACATATATAAGGAATACTTTTAGAATCACACTTGTTTCAAAACTTAAGATTGACTATGAATTAGGCTGTTAAATCTAACTTAACTTAATTAAGTACACAACAATACAACACAGCGATCAATCACAACTGAGAGATTTTCTATGTTTCACAGGATTCATACATTCCCTAAACAACTCCAGATCATTTATGGCAACTTCATTACAATCCAAGGCACACGTCCATAGTTCTTATAGTGATAATAGTCGTAAGCCAATTTGCTTAGTATAAAGACTATCAGGAAGGCCAAAACGCCATTTAGTAAATCCAGTGGATAAATTTTAGGCTCTTCCTCCGGTTTGCAGATGTCCTCACGCGTAATCGCGAGCACATTCGCACGTCGCATTGGACTGATATGCTTGTAGGTGCACGTGATATTAAGAGCATCACGCATAATTTCAATATATTTCATGAGTATCTCGCGGAAGCGCATTGTGAAGATACAAGTACATTGCCAGGGATTGCCGCTGAGTAGTAACAGATTCGCATTTGGGTTGTCGTCGAGCGCGTTATCAAGCGCATAGACGGGCATCTGCGCAAGGGGGAAAAAATATGAATGAAAGTATTATTGTCACTGAACTAGTTTTTATATTTGTTTGTTGCTATTACCTTTTGCAGCTTATTACCGCGCAGGCTAAGCAAGCGAAAGTGCTCGAACCAATAGCCGCCCTCTAGCACATCGATGCTCTCTATGCGATTGTTGTCCAAATGTACATCCACCACATGGCGATAAGTGGGATTGTTGCGCAATGGAAGTACATCGGTGATCTGCAAGAAAGTAATTAAACACTACTACATAAATAAAGAACAGACAGGCAATAGTTATAATTGTATATTATACTATAATATATACAAGTCCATTTAAGAATATCTGACGATTTTTTTTTTCAAGGCTGGTCCATTGTACTAAAAAAGCATATCCTCTTGTTTTTAGGATGGCGGAATACGGCAAATTAAGATTTATGAATCCAGCCTTATAAAAAATCGCCAGATGACTAAATTTGACCTGTATTTTCACTGTAGACTTCATTTGGATCTTTATAATTAAATTTAATGATCGGTAATTCCGAATTTCCACTAGGCATTGACCGACAAAAAATCGGTGTAATTTAGAAAATGTCACGTGGAAAAGGACTTAAGGACGTAGTGGCCCCGGTATTATTTTATGCCAAAACTTGTTTTTAAAGTTTGTATAATTAAAAGCCTCGTAGAAATTCGACATAATAAGGCAGGTTCTGCAATTCACCTCCAAGTGAATTTAAACCCCATTCAATTTGCATTCAAAGTGGCTTTGGTTGAATTTCACTCGGGAGTGAATTGCAGGACTTGCCTGAATACTTCCTATAAATTAATGGCCTTATTAATAAAAAATAAAGTAGGTTTAAAGAGCTTTATAAATTGACGTTTTCATACATTTTTCAATTTATAAACCTTTTATAAAGCTATTTTATTTTTTTGTGAATAAGGCCATACATTTTTAACCTATGATAATTACTATGCTTACTTTACTTACCTCATTATCATTCAGATATACTGTTGTTGTATTTTCAGGAATATAGTTGGGCATCGCTTGAAATTCTAAATTACTACAGTTGATGGTATAAAGCGGTATGTGAGTTTTCGGAATGATATGATGCATTGTGCAGGTACAATTTTGTAAATCCTCATGAGATTGACATTCTGAGCGGAGCATCTATTGTAGAGAGGAAGGAGAAGTTGTTTATTTCAGAAACTCAAAAGGCGTATATGAAAGAGAATGACTAAAAAGTGATCTGAGTCGCGTATGACTTTTATTAAGAAAATCTTTTCGTTGCAAAAAACCTACTGCAGACTCTCTATTACTAGGAAATGAGGAATATTCGTTAATTTCGCTGCAGGTCTTCTATTGTTAAAGAATCTCTTGATGCCTCTTGGGTAAACGCTAATTAGATCATGGAGTGTTTCGATTCTTCTTGCTGATATTTTCGAGATGAAAAATTTAGCCATTACATTACGAGTACGTAAAGGTTCAACCTTTTCTCTTTTCTTACTAAACTATTTGATGTCCGCTGGTTGGTGGTTACCAACCATTACGCAGGGCCTGGGCTCATGCTCGGTTTCCAACATCAAATAATAAAAAAAGGCAGGCAATTGGAAACCTCCGAGTGTATTTCTGCCATGAAAAACAGCTTGTCAGGACCATTTTAGGACGAGTTTTTGATCATTTTGGGAGCAATATGGGACCATTCCGTTTCAAGGCTTGTGGGAGATTCTTTCAATATAAGTTCACGACTATTTTGACCTTTTTTGGGTCTGTTCAGGACTATTCCAAACCATTTCAGAGCTATTTCAGGACCACTTCACGACTAGTACTTGACCATTTCAGGGTAAGTTATGGGACTAGTTCAGGATCGTTTTGGGGTAGCGCGACACTAGGCATGAAATGAGATTGAAATAGTCCGGAACTATCCCCGGAGTGGGTATGAAAAAGTCGTGTACTGTTCTCGACCAAATGAATAAAATGAAACGAAAGTGATGGTTTATTTCTAACCTAACCTATTTATATATGTATGTAACTGAATGACCTGATGGTTTGCCAAGCCGTACACCGATATTTATACATCAAATTTCATGAGTATCTAGTACTCACGCCTTTTGGTAAAAATCTGAAGATTACATTATCTTTTTTCTTCGACCGAATTTTTTCACAATTAAATGTTTAGCCCAAATTATTCCTTAAGACTGCCATTTAAAAAATATCTCCCGAGAAGTATGCCTAATTTCCAACTTACCACTTTATAATTCATCACAGTCAACATATGACGCTCCTTATACTTCTTATCGGCACATATAATCTCATCACGATCAGCGACCATGGCGCCCTTTTCAGGTATCAAAAGCCATTTGAAATTACGCGTGCAGTTCCACGGATTACCTATGAAAGAACTAATGAATATTAAAATATGACAGAACACATCTGCCATTAGAGAAACCGCTGGATACTTGCCAGCTAAGTAGAGCTTTTCAAAGTAGCGCGGCAGCAAGAGCGGGCCATCCAGCTGCACCAACTTATTCCAACGTAGATCGACGACACGCAAATCGTGAACACGCTTGAAAGCGCGAGTGTTTATGTGTGAAAGATTCGTCCAGGATATGTTGATAGTCTGAGGGAGGGATATAAAAAATGTACACAAATACAAATAACTAACCGCTTGCCGCAGGTTTGGAAACAAAAAATCACCTGTAAATAAAACATTTCGGGAAAATCGAAGGTGATTTCGGTTAAATTACTGTATTCGATTATAAGCGAGCGTATTTTCGGAAATGGCTGCAGATCAATGAGCGGATTAAAGACGCGCTCAGGCCAGCCACAGAAAATGATCTCCTCTAAACGACGCACTTTTTGCTCGCTGTATGTGGGGAGGGAAAATCGTAAAAGTTTAAAAATAGAAATAGAACCAATAGTTGAATTAAAAGAAACGCAAGCAAATTTTAGATTGTCTCACTTACGGTATTGTGGCTATATTATTTATGCCACCATAGCAACGTAGCGCACCATAACGTCCATAACGCGTGCAATTACCCGCCGCCGCTTCGGGTGCACGCTTCCAATCCACACAGGTGAAGTTATGCTGATGATAGTGTGACACATGTTCGCCATTTGTGAATCTAAATAACACAAACAAATTAAGAGATTACGTGTTTTCTTACAAGCTGCTATTATAACTGATTTCTTATTGTTCGTGGAGGGTTAAAATGGCACATGGCCGCAAATCTAGACTCGGTTGATGAAAATCAAATATTTATCAGCACGTCCATCACTACACAATGCAGTGATAATTTTTATGGGCGGAAAATATGTTTGCTTGTCGGTTGGTTCCCGCTGACAGTTGTACTAACTAGGCAGTAGGTATGTACATACATATATATGTACATACATAAATATGTTAAAATGGACTAGGCAAATATTTATTTGCTGAGAATTTGTTAAATGTAATCTGCAATGTTTGTTCAACTAATAACTGGGCTGAATGAATGTCAGCAGCGGGAACAGGTACACATAATAAGAATTGTTTGGCTTACGCAGTTCTGGGCAGATGATTCGAATAGTAAAAATTTGCAAATATAGATCTACTAACGTAGCTATATACTCAACTATATTCATTTGTAATCATTATTACAACGTCTTTATTAGTACCTTAAAGAACTTTGCTATGTTGGTTGTGTGACTAATTTGTATATACATATAAATACTAGACTGAATCACTCCCCATACAAAAAAATCTACACCGTACAGATTTTTCCATTCAATTATCAAATCTAATACATTTTAAGACTTCCACCAAAATATTTCGAAAAAATATTACGATTTACGTGAACTGGACCGATTTGAAAATACTTCCAAAAATGGAGCTTTTTTATGAATCAAAATAGTTTGATAAAAATTAAAAGAACAAAACATTCAAACGACAAAACGATTTAAGCTTAAAAAAATTTGCATACAAATATTTTCAAAAGTTTTCAACGGAATCGGAATGAGATTTTTGAGGCGGTTTTTTAACTTTTTTCAAAGATTTGTATAAGAAAAACTTGAATAACTGAAACCAAACTGTTCCGATTTAGCCTTGTGAGGTATCAGTAGAAAGCTATTTTCTCATCCTTTTTATTTCTTTGCTAATGAACTCATTCAAAGCATGAAAGAGAAAGTTAGGATGAACGAACGTCATTCCAGGTTGAATTAAGATGTGTTGGTATTTGAAAAAAAAAAAAATAAAATTGGGACGCGAATGAGTTTTTTTGCACAGAAATAAAAAGAGTGAGACCCCATAAGTCTAAATCAGAATAGTTTCGGCCCAGTTATTCAAGTTTTTTGTAAATCAATCTTTGAAAAAGGTTAAAAAACAGCATCAAAAATCTCATTATTATAATTCCGTTGAAACGATTTTTAAATATTTTTAAGCAGATTTTTTAAGCTTAATCTGCTTTGTTATCTGAGGGGATTTTTTATTCATAAAAAACTCTATTTTTGGAGGTATTTTCAAATCGGTCCAGCTCACGTAAATCTTAATAGTTGCGATCCCGTACGGGTCCGGACTAGTCAGAAATAGTCAGAATCAGTCATATCTTACTGGAAATTGATTCCGTACTCGGTTCTCTGACTATTGAGAGGGAGAGAGTAAATAAGGTCCTCTCTCTGTCAGAAGTTACCAGTTTTAGTCCGAAGGTTTTTTGCTGGTAAATTCTGGTAAATATGTCAAACGATCAGCTGTAGTGTGTTTGGCAACCAAATTGTAAACAAAAGAAAAAGTGCACTCTTCTAGTTTATGTTAAGAGTATTTTTAGTTAAGAGTCATGTAGCTCCAGCAGTGTTTACATAGAAAATAAGCAAAAATTTACAATCAAAATTTTAAGGTCATGTTGAAGTTGACAGAAGTTGCCATTTTTTACTAGAATGCGATCCCGTACTTTTCATTGTTTTTATTTTTTGACTGTTTTACTAGTTTTAGTCCGAGGAATACGGGATTGCACCTAATATTTTTCCGAAATATTTTGGTTCAAATATAAAAAAATTGGTAATCTCGGCGGAAAAACCGCAACTTTTGGTGATGCAGTCTAATAAATATTTACTACTTCATGTCGTTGGCATTTGCATTTCATTTATTAGTTTAAGTTATTTATAAACATTCGCTCTCAAAACTTATTAAAGTTTTATTTGAAAAAAAACTTTTAATAAGCTTTATATTAAAAATGCTTATTTAACGCTTATTATAGCAAACTTACTTTAAGTTATTTTTAAAAAACATTTACTGAAATGCTTGTTGGGTTACTTCCATACAAATATTTTAATTTATTTATTTAATTTTTTTTTTTGAGGTGCTACCCCTAAAATGGTTGCGTATAAGGGAAAATTTTACCCATTTAAAATTGACTTAATTAACCCAGATCAACCCCTGCCACCAACGTGTTGAAATAATGAACCGTACATCGTGGTTCTGTGCGCTATCATCGTACATGTAAAGAGTACTCAATTTACATATCGACCCCTAACCACCAAAAAGTCGTCAACGACATTTTTTTTTTTAAATTTTCCTTTTGATGCAGAAATGTTACTAGACCTTTTATATGCATTTCTGCACCAAAAGCAAATTTTTGAAAAAAATGTCGCTTATGTCTTTTTGGTGGTCAGAGCTCGATATGCATGTATGTTAAAGGTAAAAAAATCAAACTTGTTTTCTATTAATTTATGAATGATGGTGTCAACAGAAATAATTTTGTTTTGCCTAACGCAAATTTTGGATTTTCAAAAAAAAAGGGCCACTTGAATGTACATAAATACATGATTGCCAAGAGTATTGAGATGCTGGCAAAATATAAGGCAACAATCAAAGAGCTTCAAGGCCGAGCGTGTTTCTTGCAGAGGCGGAGATGGAAATCTGGTTCTATCCAGAGTATACTTACGGTATGGAGGGAGACCCTTTCAACGCTTTTTGGATGGAAATACCAGCGGCGTGTTTAATGAAAAAGAACTCCGATCATTGTATACATAGGAACGATAATCATGTATCTCCACTCGGCCAAGTCAAAGCCCTCCGGAGTCGATGGTATACCGGCCGAGCTATTAAATGTCGCCGGCGATGAGTTGGCGGGGCGCTTTTCCAGCTTTAAATCGCAATTCGGTCCATTAATTGCATGTTCGAAAATTCAAATCTCTGCCCCATCTTTAAGCAGAGAGATGCTGCTGCTTTCGCCGATTACCGTTTAATATGTCCTCTTAATATGGCACATAAGGTCCTGTTAACGACATTGTGTGAAAAAATCCTACATTACTACTTACCATCCCTACGTCGACTTTAAAGCATCTCTCAGTATCAGAGATTTTTTCAACGTTCCATATTCAAACGCATAAAAATAAAACATTTGCGGTGGCTTGGAGATGCCTTCCGGATGGATGATAACGTATCGGTGAAAAAATTAGATATACAGCTTGGCACCCATGGATGGACAACCAACGAAAGTCGCAGCGAACACAATGGAAGAACTAAGTACAGAACGAACTGTCTACGCCTGTGATGAACACCTGGTGGAACTTAGCAAAAGAGAGACGGGTTTTGAAGTCTCTTTCTCTTTGTTTATTACTTTAGTATTATTAGCAAGACGCACATTCAATATGAGGACCTCAAATCGGCTCAGATTAGTACTTGGCTGCAACTAAGGTACTACGTGCGTGCTTCGCATTCGACTTGCAGGCCTACTTGAGCAAGAAACCACAAAAAACACCAAAACAATATTTCTCCAACCTTGGAGAAATTCATAGTTCTCAAGCATTCTTCAACTTATCTCTAATTTTGGACTGGACATTGAGATGAACTTGAGAAAAACAATTTTGGCAGCGTTGACAAAACATAAGCATTCGAAAGTATAAAATCGACGCGTGTATAGGTAAAAAGTGATAGGGGAACGAATTTTTAATTATCAAGTGAAAAAATGAAGCTAAATATATAAAGAGGAAAATTACCAACAAAAAGTAAATAATGTTTTCAAAAAAGTCAAAACGCGAAGTGAATCAAATGGTCACTGTCAGACTGTAGCCGCTCGACTGAAAACTTGACTGTGAATTATTGTAATACGATATTGATTAACTACATATTACAAAAGGGCCATTCCAGTGGAGACGACACCTCAAAAAAAAATAACGACACTTCAGAAATCAAGAAAAAAGAAATAAAATTATATAAATTGTGTTTAAATCTGTAAAAACAGTAAAGCAGGAGATTTTTATCCATTTATTTTTCAATATTTTCTCTATTTTATTCACCCTCATTACGAGAGTCGTGTCGAAGGCAAGTCGTTCTTCGATAGTCGAATCGGAAAGAATTTTTCACGTCAGTGCCTAAAATTTCCACTCGACTACTGTATTAAAACGGAAAACTTGCCAGCACTGTATACCTTTCGATGATTTTCGTCGTTTACTTATTTCAGAACGACAGTATATAATGCCAATGTTGGCGAGTCGTAAAATGTAGTATAATTTACGACTTACGCAATAAGGCTGATTATTATAAATGCATATATAATATACTGTAATATGTTTGCATCAAGTTTTCAAGACATTCCTTATCTACTAAAGGTGACAATGCAAAAAATAATTATCCAAAAAGAAAGAACAATTCATGAGCTTTACAGTGGTGGTAAGTTATTAGAAAAACACATTTATGGTGAGAAGTTATAAGCGTCACAGCAAAATATGTATTAAAAATAAAATAAATATTTACATCAAATCAGCAGAGTTCATTTTACTGACGAACCATGTGTCCTTAAAGGTGACTCGTCCTACCCCCGACTCAGAGAAGCGGGTGTCATCGTTGTCCCACCCGTCACGCTTGGAAAATGTTAAATTTCAGTTTCGTATTAAACTGATATCTGACTTCAAGTGTTAACAGTTTGACACTTGTCAAATCAAAGGTTAAAGAGAATTCACAAAAAGTTTGAGCGAAAACGAGTTAAAATGTACCACCCGTCACTTTGGAATGCCCCAAAAGCAATAAAGAAATAAATATCTATTTAAATTTATCTACATATGTCCCTTCAATCAAAAAGGTATATATTATTTTACTATTTCAATTTAAGTATTTCTATGACATGTTTGAGACCAATTGGAAAATCAATTG